TGCCTGTAATCCCAGCTACTCAGGAGGCTGAGGCAGGAGAATTGCCTGAACCCAGGAGGCGGAGGCTGTGGTGAGCCGAGATCGCGCCATTGCACTCCTGCCTGGGTAACAAGAGCGAAACTCCGTCCCAAAGAAAAAAAAAAAAAAAAAAAAAATTATATCCATGAGAAAATTATGGCAGTCGGGGAGATCTGATCTAGCCAATCTCCCTCTTGACATTAGTTAGCCTTCAAGCTGCCAAGCTGGCTTTGGGAGACGTTTAGCTTACAGTTTTAATGTTAACCCTTCTCTAAAACTCAACTGCCTTTGTAAAGCTAATGAAAGATCACCAGGCCAGGAGCACAGAGGAGCCTGAATTCTGCTAAGTTGTAGACACAAATGACCGCCAACCATTATTCCAGACTTCACAAGACGTGCAACTTTCTCAATTACTCCTGCAGATAACATCACTATTGTGGAACCTCTTTAGAGATCTCTTTGTTTTTTTCTGTTGAATCCTGATTTTTTATTTTTATTTTTTATTTATTTTTTTAATTGCATTTTAGGTTTGGGGTACATGTGAAGAACATGCAAGATTGCTGCATAGGTACACACATGGCAGCCTGATTTGCTGCCTTCCTCCCCTTCACCTTCCTCCCCTTCTAAAGAGACCTCTTTTCAGGTTTTTTGCATATCTGACACCAGTGGCTCCACCTGGACCACCAACCCCACCTGTGGCCCCACCCAGAAGTGACTCAGCACAAGAGGACAGCTTTAACTCCCTGATTTCATCTCCGACCCAACCTATCAGCAGCAAGCACCTATTGCCTAGCCTCCCCAACTTCCTCCTTCAAACTACCTTTGAAAAATCCCTAACCTACAAGGTTTTGACGAGATTGATTCGAGTAATAACCCTGCCTCCTACATGGCACGGCCAGACTCGTATCTTATTAAAGTCTGTCTTTATTGCAATGTTGCGGTCTTTGTGTCAGAGGTGTTTGAACCAGAGTGACTCCATCTTGAATAGGGGCCGGGTAAGTGAGGCTGAGACCTACTGGGCTGCATTCCCAGGTGGTCAGGAATTCTTAGTCACAGGATAAGATAGGAGGTGAGCACAAGATACAGGTCACAAAGATAAAACAGGATGCAGTAAAGAAGCTGGCCAAAACCTACCAAAACCAAGATGGCAATGAAAGTAACCTCTGGTCATCCTCACTGCTCTTATACATGAATTCTAATGCATTAGAATGCTAAAAGACACTCTTACCAGCACCACGATAGTTTACAAATGCCATGGCAACATCAGGAAGTTACCCTATATGGTCTAAAAAGGGGAGGAACCAACCCTCAGCTATTTTTCAGGTGATTAAAGTCCTATCAAAGGACTCTATCAAAGGGTGGAAAACCTCTAAAGCAAAACTGGAATATAGCTACATGAAATACAGTCTGAATGCAGAAGTTAATAGAAATGCAAAGTTAAGGTGCTTCTGACTTAATTAAAGTCAGTCTAGGAGGCATCACAAGTATATGTAACTCATGGACCTACAGGGAATGATTAATGTCGTAACACAGGAGGAGTGAAAGCCTCTCTATTTCTGCCGAGTGGGAAGGTGATTTCAGTTCTTACTCTAAGCAAGAGGAATCACGATGCCTCCCAAACCCACCCCACAAATGGAATTCTGATAGCACAGAAAGGGGAGCTGGCCTAGCACACCTTGACAGCAAGCACTTTGGTTTGTTTTTTTTTTCTTTTTTCTTCTTTTTCATCCCACTTCTTTACTGGCAGGCAGCAAGCATTTTGCAGAATATTTTGGAAGGCTGCAAATTGTTTTGTAGAAAGATTCTGAACAGAAGACTATTCGAGTGAGTTCACGGGCAAAGACTGAGACTTCATAATGCAGGCCCTGAGGCAAGAAGGGTGTTATCCCGCTGACCAGACCTCATTGGGGGTGGGGGGGGCGGGATTCAGATAGGACCAGAGCTGTTCCTTTAGAACATTGACTAAGGACGGTTACCTGGGCTTCAGCAAGAAGGAAATGGAGCTTGATATTATAACCTACTGTCTTTGCTTAATACTTTTTAAGTACAAGTAAACAAACTGTACAGAGTTCATATTACAACCATTCCCAACAAATCCTTTAGTCATCTCCATTTTCCTGTAGTTGTACCAACTTATGGCCCAAGGGGTCCCTATCTGACTAATAGAATCAAGATTCAGGCATCCAGTGGGCAAAACCAGGCAAGCAGCCCCTCAAAACCACCGACTTCGCCACATGTAACGTACACACCTCAAGAAGTTTACCGAGAAGATTGTAACACAGGAACTTGGAGCTCCTGTGGCTCTGCACATGGCCCTAACCTGTACAACAAGGTTTTTATTCCAGTTCATGTCCACCTAAAGGGAAAAACTGACAGGGAAACGAGAAAAGGAAAATAGCTCAGAGCAGTTTGAGTTATGTGAGGCATGCAAAATGCATCAGGCTGAGAGGGATGTGAGGGTGGGGGTACCTTAGGTCAAGGGCACGCCTTGCACCCATGCCCGGGGTCAATTCTTTTTTTTTTTTTTTTTTTTTTTTTTTTTTTTTTTTTTTTTTTTTTAGTTTTTTTGAGACNTTTTTTTTTTTTATTTTTCATTTTTTTTTTTTTTTTTTTTTTTTTTAGTTTTTTTGAGACGGAGTTTCATGCTTGTTGCCCAGGCTGGAGTGCAATGGCATGATCTCAGCTCACTGCAACCTCCTCCGGGGGCAACTCTTTAAAGGCATTTTTGTTCCTGGACTAGCTGCCTTACCCATTATCTTCATGTTCCTGGAATTTGTGATACAAAGAACAATATATAGCCAATCAATAGCTTATGTCATGGTAAATTATTTATCAATTGCCTCTTCTTTTTTCCTCTAAAAACCCACTTGCAACTGCTGCTAACCCAAGCATATATTCAGGGGAACTTGAATCTACGTTCCCACGTGGTAGTCCTCAAATTTGGCCCAGATAACCTTTCTACTTATGTTAACGTTGCCTCAGTTTTTCATTAGGTTGACAGTCACTTTTAAAGAGTGCTTTGCTGAGAGTAGCTTCTCTTTATGTGGCGACACTGCCAGGTCTGGCACAGGAGGTAAACTAAGGTTGAAGGGAAGGAGGAAGTAAAGAACTCCACAGCTGGAAGACTGCAGAAGGGATCTTTGCAAGCTAATATAATCCAAATTAAAGAGGGTTTCAGACACCAGGGTTCACTTTCCTACGCTGATGTCACTGAGCGCGGGTTGCACTGCAGCTGAGAGGATTCCCTCCACCATCCGGGGACATGGGCAGGGTCACACCCTGATGGGAGCATCCAGCACTACCTTCAGACTCCCAAATGTGTTACTCCACCTCTTCCCACAGCCTTCCAGTCCACAAACAAAGACTTCCTCATGGAGCCCACAGCCTGCATGACACATTGTGACACATTGCTGTGGGGACCAACTCCAAAATTAGCAAACACTAAGAACAGGAGAACTCCAAAACAGAGAGACCAGAGTGGTGCGCATAAAGCTCGGAGGAAGCCAAGAGCACGCTGTTGGGGACTCAGCGTCTCACTGACGCGAAAACCAGAGTCTCAGAAGTTCATCACTGGCATTCTGATCTCCTGCCTAACATTTGTTTAAACCCCTTAAGCCTAGGACCATTGGCGTGCTCTCTGGAAACTCTGGAAAGGGCATACATTTGTCTTTAATGGAATAAACAGTGTGTTGGGTTTTGATCTGGAAGAGACCTTAAGCAGTCCTGACAGGCGAAAAGTCTGAGTGTGGAGGGAGCCGCCTCCAAGCACGGCCCCACGCACCTCCCGCCTCGTGTGCCCCAACTCACAGTGAGAATAGGTCACATGCTGGCTCTCAGAGATAGCCTCCGGTATATCTCTTAGGTGATTTCTGAAAGAGTAAAGAAAACACACCATGGCTGTCCAACTTCTGATGTTTGTCCACCATAATGCATACCCAAAATTCTCCTTGAAGAGCCACAAATTTCTTAAAATAAGAAAACCAAACACCTTTTTTCCTACGTTCCTGTCCTTCCCCATTCACCTTCCTTCAGGGTGTTGTCTCTATTTGTGCAATTGTTCCTGCAGTTGCATTTGACTCTTTTCCCCTCTTTACCACATTTACAACTATCCTGGTTTAGTTTGATCTGGCTAATTTGGACATATTGCTCCTGACTCACAAGACTTAAGCAATCATAACTGTACAATTCCAGGGCACAATTACATATGTGATATGCTAGGTCCACCAATGGCCCTGTGAGGGAAATATTAGCACATTTTTCTAATTTTGTAGATTAGAAAAGTAGAACTCCAAGAGGTAAACTGACTTACCGCCAGTAAATTACAGAGCAAAAATTCAGTCGGGACCTCTTCCTGGCAGTCCTAAATTCTTTGTATTATACCATGCTGCTGTCACTTTGAATCTAGATTCTGTCATCTCACATATCAGATTGTCCTTTAGGCCTTTTGTTAACTGAAAATGTTATAAGTGTGTCTTGTATGTCATCAAAATTTATTCTAATATTGGAGCCAGGCTCACTCCTATAATCTCAGCAACTAAGGAGGCTGAGGCTGGAGGATCACTTGAGGCCAGGAGTTTGAGACCGCCTGGGCAACATACTGAGACCCCCTGTCTCTTAAAGAAAAAAAACTGTAGCCAGCCATGGTGGCACACACCTGTAGTCCCCACTACTTGGGAGACTGAAGCAGAAGGATAGCTTGAGCACAGGAATTTAAGGCTGCAGTGACCTATATCACACCACTGTACTCCAGCCCGCATGACAGAGCAAGATTCCATCTCTAAAATAATAATAATAATGTGGGTGGGCGGATCACAAGGTCAAGAGATTGAGACCATACTGGTCAACATGGTGAAACCCCATCTCTAAAATATACACACACACACACACACACACATATATATATAAAATAATGTATTCAAATATTGAACAGGACAGGGTCCTGTAATACATCATTATGAACATCCATCCATTCATATAGAGTCTTATTGGAGCCTTTAAGGTGAACAGGAAAGATTAGACAGTTACAAAGATTATTTAAAAGATTTGAAACTCAAGCATAAAATCTGAACATTTCAAAGATAATCATATTTATACTGTAGGCTTTGTCAATTAAAGAGTCAGTGATAAGCATCATCATCTCTTTCCTGGGATGGAAAAGATATAGAGGCTGGGCACAGTGACTCATGCCTGAAATCCCAGCAATTTGGGAGGCTGAGGCAGGTGGATCATCTGAGGTCAGGAGTTCAAGACCAGCCTGGCCAACATGGCGAAACCTCATCTCCACTAAAAATTTTTTAAAAAATTGACGGGCATGGTGGCAGGCACCTGTAATCCCAGCTACTAGGGAGGCTGAGACACAGGAATTGCTTGAACCCAGGAAGCCAAGATAGTGCCACTGCACTCCAGGCTGACTCAAAAGATGGA